AAGAGCCAGGCGACAACAGGGTTTCTCTGCAAGAGCCTCACTGCCTTGTTGGGTGTGTACCTTGATGTACAGCATCACCTCTGCCTTTGGGGTGGGCGTCTGGGGAGCGGTGGGCAAAACAGGTCCCCAAAAAACTGTTATGGGCCAAGCTGCCGTCTTGGGGCTTCCCAAGCATCCTGCCCTATTGAAGTCATATTGACTACTGTGCTAGAGCTCCTAGCTGCTAAATATTGTAAATAGGCATTTGTAGGATGTTGGGTCTTGTTGATGAGTTTCTTGGTTTAATTTGTTTCCATATTTAAATGCAGTGTTAATAACGATGTGGTGTAATTTATCAGTGTTGATGCTGGAAAAAAAACAACTGTAGTTTGTGTATTTTAAACTTTTTTTTTGTATTAAAGTATCTTTTCTGAAGATGTCTTTTAATAAAAACAAGCCTGTAACTGTCCTGCCTGGATTATCTGCCTGCTGGTTTACCAGGAGATGTGTGGGAGCTATGTCGGGGCTCTGGATTTGGAAGTGTCGCTTGTTGGGAATTTGACCCGAGCTCTACGCTTCCTTCTGGCCTCAGCTTTCAGCTGTAGCCTTACAGAGCTCTCGGGTAAATCCCGGCTGTAGCCCCCAGCAGTAGTTTTGAGTCTGTCTGAAGTTTATGGCTGCCTAAATTTCTTTTCCCTCGGGGAATCAGGCCCTGGGGCAGCGAGTTCACAAGTGGCCATGAGCTGGCTTTCCTTATTCCCTGCCAGCAGACCTTTGCACCAGGGAGAGATTCCTTGTAGCTGTCTGGAAAACCATATGGCAACTCCTTGAACAGGAGCAGAGGCTGAGGTCTGGATTATCTGGCTGGATTAAAGCTAGAGCTGGTCAGGACAAGCCCCAGGAAGCATAGCAGCCTTTCACTCGCTCATACCATATGTGCGTAGTCATCTCCAAAAGCATTTACTGCAAGTACTGGGGAATGATTCCCTATGTTGGAATGAACTGAGCTGGGGATGGAGCGAGAGCCTTGGAGGTGATGGGGGTGAACCCCAGCATCCTTGCGATCCCAGGTATATGGCCTGATGCTGGAGCAAAGAGCAAGCGCTCCTTTAGCTGGTCAAGGAAGGGGGACAAAAACTGCTCATTGCAGAAGGAAGAGGCTGTTCCAATCCCCTAGAGCAGCTGCATAAATACCTGCTGTACTTAAACGTGGCCCCAGCTCCTGTGCCTGTCCTCCTTCCCTGGGGAAAAACCTGGGGTTAATGATAGCCCCAAGCACCATTGCACAAACAGCCCATTATACCCAGCTCTGCCCTATCTGTCTGCTCACTCTTGCATTCAGAAATACATTTTTAATGTTCCATTTGCTTAATTCAAAGCTTATTTAGTCCCTGGGTGCACCAGCAGATACTGGAGTGCCGGGTTTTAGTCTGGATGCTGACGCGATTAGACTAAGGTGGGGGTTTTGTGCATCAAATAGAAACTGGTGGAGGAGCTGTGCTGCATTTATTCATTGCCAGGGTGGGGATTTTTGGCAGATCTGGGGTTCAGCATCTGCAGGAGGTGCCTGGGGGAGGACAACAGCCGGGGGAAGGCTAAATGCCCCCAAATCCTGCCTAGCCCAGGAACTACAGCTGCTGCTTTCTTCTGTGTCTTGGTCTCGCCCTGGCCAACCATGCAAGTCTCTGTGCCCCGTCAGTGTCAATGCCACCCCATGCCCCCAGATCACAAGTCCCACGTCGGAGCGTGTGGTGTCCCGGGACCTTCCAAGGGCCCTCTGCAGAAGCAGCCCGTCACGGGTCTTCGTTTTCATCTGGAATCCTCCAGCTCCTTCATTTTTAACAAATCCGTGCGCTGCAGCTTGCCGTAACATCTGGGAGCCCAGTGAAGGATGGGGCAGCTCCCTCCAGCGACAGCGAGCGAAGCAGCACTGTGCACTGCCGAAAGCACGGATATCCTCCAGTTTCCCAAATGCTGCAGCTCCCCAAAACAGGCCTGTGGGCCCACAGCAGCTCCTGATGTGATCCACAGCTTCCAGTCCTCCCCAGTCCTCCCCGAGCAGCTGGAAAGAAGGGCTGTTGCTTGTTTTGCGAGCTTGGAGGGGCTGTGCTGAAGGCGGTGATGGGGTCTGAGCTCAGCATGCGTCAGGGGGCTGAAGGCTGCAGGGTCTGGACATGGTGGGACAGGGCTTTTCGGGGCCAGAAGTGCTGCGGGACAGGCTGGGGCTGTGGTCCTGTGGGTGACACCAGGCCGGTGCATGCCTTGATAGGAACTCGGACTCATCGGTGGAAGCAGATTGAACCCGGGGGTTCTTGCAGAGCATCGTCAGAGCAAGAAGACGTTGCACGTCGGGTACCAACATCCTGACCCAGCTGTATTTGGTGGCCCCAGAAAATGAGGAGAGCCCTGACCCGCTGCACAGAGGCCTCCCCCAATCCGCCTGGGTCTCAATGGCAGAAACAACCACGGAGAGATCCGACAGCGGGGCCTCAAACCCTTTTTTATGAAACATTGGAATCCAAATTGCTCTTTGCAAAGTTTGGCAAAAAGGAAAGGTGTTTGTGCATACATATTGCTGCACCAGCTTGGGGGGATGGGCTGAGCCCCCTGTGCCGGTGGCACGGGGACGCTGGAGGGGGGAGAGCCAAAGGCATAGAGCAGAGGCAGTCCCCGGCGCGCCCCCCCCCCCCCCCAGCGCAGCCATCGCAGAGCACTGCCACGAAACAAAAAAGGCAAACTGGCAAACCCCCGCTTGAATCTGAAACCTGGTGCAAAGCCAAGAAAGAGCAAATTAATAACAAGAGACGAGGTCTCCAC